AATAAGGCTCTGGATCTTCTTGAATCATCCTTTGGTGATCTTTGTAAAGTCTAAGCTGATAAATGCCTTCCAGCAGTGCTATGGAGAGGAGTTTGGACCATATTCACAAGTATCTACCTTATACCAACCAAATAAAGGATACCTTTAATAAAAAGGCATCTTGTTTCCTTATGCCACACCTTTCACACTTTCACAAAATTATGTCATTTCACCCTTAAAATAACTTTATGGGGTAAATATTCATATTCCAGATAAAAGGACAAAACTTATAAAGATTAAATTATTTGCTCAAGGTCACACTGTTAAACAGTAAAGAGAAGCAGTCTCACCCTTCATTAACAATGCTTGTCTATAATGTTACAGAAGACCCCAAAGTAGAAACTTTCTCATCAATTGCCTATCAATTTTCAGAAATTTGTAAATCAGCAGCGATCCCTGTATCTCAAATGAAACTATGTGAGGTCGGACAGTTTTAAGTGTCAGATTCCTAACTCAATCCAAGGCTTTCTCTACAATACGACATTCCATCTGTGTATGTTTCCCTCTCTAAAAACGTGTACCTTTCTTTATTCAATTTCTATACTAAGAAATTCCTACATGTGGCTGTCACGTATTCCTAATCTCTTCCCTCTTACTTCCTCATTTAAACAGCCAGCAGCTTGAACCACAAGACAGAATGAATTAAAAATCCCATGTAAGTACTTTTTGTTTATATCAATTTCAGTGCTGGCCCCCAAAATACAAACCAGCATCAACAGTTTGAAATTATTGTGTTAACATTTTCTGTTTCTAAGCTAAGCTAAACATTGGAGCAAATTGTATTGCAACACATATTTGTTTTAACTCCAATACAACTGATATTCTCATCCAAGACATGTTAACAAACTTTCCCGTAGTTACCCATATAGTGATGAGATGGAAGTTAGTGGAATATTTTGGTTTAAAAATTTGAGTAGAAATAAAAATTTTACAGATTTTTACAACTCAAAATTTGTGTTGTTTTCCTATTAAACTACTTTGCTCTGTGTCAGATATTAAAAATCCTTATACTTCATCCAGTAAACATTCCATTTTAACCTAAAATTTGTAGCAATAGTCCCTCAGAGGAAATATGTTAAAAGAGGATTGTTAAGAAATTGATTTTTTCTCATCTTACCAGTAAATTTTATGGGAAAACAAAGAATAATCCCCTGCCTGTACTCTACTCTTGTGCAGATGAACAAGAAAAATCTGATCATTTAAATTTTATTTCATATTTCATGATGGGGGTAACCAAAGTTCTCCCGAGAACTATTATCAGCACTGACTCATTCTCTCAGAAATCATTTGACTTTCTCTTGATATAAAATCATACCTTGGAAGGACAATTAGCTTAAAAATTAGACAAATTATCTTTTGATCAAATCTACTTCTAGTTGGTTCTCACAGGCATATGATTATAAATGCAAAATCTAATGCTAAAAATGCTTATCAATGTATCATATATAATAGTAAAAATTGAAAACAAAATAAAATTTTAATAGATGAGACTAATTAAATAAGTTTTGATAGACCCATATGATGAAATGTTAGGTACCATTAAAATAATATGCCTATAAATATTTTTATGACCTGGGAAATTGCTCATGAAATAGGATTAATTTTCTAAAACATGTTATAAAAAATGCTGCCCATTACTAGCTCCAAGATCCACAATTTTCACCTTTTAACATTTGCAAAATCAGAATGCATCTTAAAATTCATGGTATCTTATAATCATTGTAGGCTGGGTAGCAGTGGTGGCAGTTGTTCTTACTGGCACATGTATGAACACAGCTGTTACTCCTGTTGAAATGTCTGGACAACTGCCACTCTTCATTGTTTTACTCATGAAATCATTTAAGGACAACTTGCGAAAGAAATACAAAGCCTGGTTGGTGCCTGAAATTCTTATATAATCTCCTTCTTACAGCAAAAAGGTGCTAGCAACAAAATTCACTTAAGATGAAAGACTGAATGCTTTCCCCACTGAAATCGGAAGGAAGCAAGTGAGGGATGCTTACTCTCCCCATTTGTATTGAAAATAGTACTGGAAGTCTTAGCCAATGTAATAAGCCAAGAAAAAAGAAATACAATTTTCTATAAAGAATATCCTAAAGAATATATATATATATATATATATATAACTGCTGGAACTAATAGGTTGGTATGTCAAGTCACAGATTGAAGGCCAACACACAAAAATCAATCTTGTTTCTATATACTAACAATGGATAATTGGAATTCCACATCAAAAATACAATACCATTTACAATAGCTCCCCCTCAAAAGTAGTAGGTATAACTTTAATAGGAATTTTAATTTTAACATGTATATGATCTACATACTGAGAACTGCAAAATACTGATGAAAGAAATCAAAGATGTAAGTAATTGGAAGACATATATGCTTATAGATTGGAAGACCCAGTAGAGTTAAGATGAGAGTTCTCCTCAAATTTAGCAATAGCTTACAACTATTTCAAACAAAATGAGAAAGGGTTTTTTTTTTTGTACAGACAAGGCACAAGAATCAGAATAGCCAAAACAATTTTAAAAAGAAGAAAAAAGTTGGAGTATTCATGTTAGTCAATTGCAAGACTTACTCTAATGCTGTAATAATGTAAACTGGTGAAAGCATAGACTTATAAATCAATGGACTTGAACAATGGATCTAGAAATAGACCCACACCAATATGTTTAGTTAATTTTTGTCCAAGGTAAAACAAACAAACAAACAAAAAACAATTAAATGGAGAAATATTATCTTTCCAACAAATGGTACTGGAACAATTAACATCCATATGTGAAAAAAAACCCTCAACATAACTTTAAAAATAAACTCCAAATGAACTTTGGATAAATATAAAATAAACAGCTGTGAAACTTTTTGATGAAAATATAAGCAAAAATCTTAGACATCTGGGGTTGAGTGAAGATCTTTTAGACATGCTAAAAAAGGTCAATGAAAGAAACAATTGATCAAATTGGACTTCATGAAAATTAAAACTTTTGTTCTGGAAAAGACTGTTAAGTGAATAAAACGTGAAGCCATAGACTGGGAGAAAATGCTTGGAATTCATATATCCAACCAATGACTTATATCCAGATTACACAAAGAACTCTCAAAACTCAACACTAACAAACAACCCAAATAAAAAATGAGCAAAAGACTTCACAAAATAAATTATATCAATGGGAAATACACACGTGAAAACGTACTTGTCATCATCAGCTATTAGTGAAATGCATATTAAAACTGAGGTGAGATACACCTGTGGGAGTGTCTGAAATAATATTTTAAAAAATGACAATACCAAGTGCTGACAAGTATGGAAACAACTAGAATTTTATATCTTGCTAGAGGGAATACAAAATTGTTCAAGTACTCTGGACAACAGTTTGGCAGTTCCTTCTGAACGTGCACTTATGCGAACTAGCACTCTTAACCCAGGGCATTTACACTGGACAACTGACAATGTATGTTCACACAAAAACCTGCATATAAATGTCTACAGCAGTTCTCTTCATAATCCCAGAAAGCTGGAAACAGCCTTTATGGTGAATGGATAGCGAACTCTAGTATATCCATACAATGGAATATTGCTCATCAAAAAACAAATAAATAAACAGGAAGAAACTACAGATGCACACAACACGTTAGAAGAATTTCAAAGGCAGTTTGGTGAGTGAAAGACAGTCTCAAAGATGACATGTATGATTTCATATACGTGACATTCTAGAAAAGGCAAAACTATAGCAACTGAGAACAAATCAGTAGTAGCT